CTGGTTAACTTGGTCTGTAAGTCCTGAGATGGTACAGAGTCAGCGGAAACGGAGCACAGTCGCCGCCGATTTCGTAGTAATAGAAGTGGGAAGTAAGACAGTTTTGCGCATTTTGCGGCATGCAAATGCGCATTAGGTCAAAAGTCAACTCTACCAAATACACAGTAAAACATAGGATACACCAGGAAGCTGGCGTAATGTCAGTGAGGCTGCAGTAATAAAAGGCATTTAGAAAACGTTTTTCCGCCTTCTATATATAATGATTTACATTTTTCCAACACCATGGTGTTGATTACTCGTTAAAAAGGGTTCAGTTTCACATCCTGGCCTTCATCAGCTGATTATCGACTGTGATCAGGCCATCGTGAGCACCTAACCAAGAGCTCAAAGACGAGACTGGAACGCCAACGTTAACCCTATCATATGACTTAAACATCAACAAATTTGCATTATTTTTCCACTTATCCTTTATGTTATCTAAGGTAAATAATGTTTCTTGCAAAAAAATGACAAAAGGTTTTACTTGTGTAGTCTTTAAGTGGGAAACGCCACCTTCCGAAAATTGGAGATGAATACGGGAAGACAATTGCTAAGACGCAGTTTATTCATTCGACAGTCAAACTCTCGCATGAGTCCATTTTCAAGGAGTAAATGAATGGTTTAATTCACTGCATATGTAGGTAGCTCGCTATGTATATATAAGTTACATATAAGTTCAGTTTAAACATTAACAAGCGTCGTCAGCTGGCTCTAGAGTCAAACTAAAAAGGACCGTTTATGGAAATTGGAAATATTTGTGATTTGTTTAAGGTTGAGTCAGCGTGGCAACCTGAGACAAATCGAATGTGTTTTTAGAAGATATCGCGGAGACTGAAAAGCGCAAGCACTAAAAGAAAGGGGTAATTAATGGCACTTTTAAAATCCATACTGTCCGTCCTTTCGGACATTTGTCTTCACATTGTCGTATGGAAAAATTGTACAACGTATGCCTCCATCGACCCTTGAAGGACAGCGAACTGACTTCCCATAGCAGGTAATGAAAATCTAGGGATGCACTCCTGTTGAAAGTTTAGTTCCTTCCCTAGAGATATCTCTCGTGTTGGCGTTTTTCTGTGTTAGTTGGAAATAGGGTAAATCTACTTGTCACTTTTAAAATTTCACATGAGTTCGTAATGCTTGGCAACCGAGTAGAGTGTATAACAAAGGGGCTGCAGAGTTTTTTCTTTATTTCAATTAGATTTATCCAATTGTATACCCTTCTACTTATGTTCCTTAAACAACCAGGTTTCGCCGCTTTTGTCACTTTGTCGTGAATCTTCGCTACTTCGACCTCTTCATTATGATTGTGATCGCTTCAAGTAGCATCTCGCTGGCGGCTGAGGACCCCGTCAATGAAAACAGCAATCGAAATATTATCTTGGAATACTTTGATCACGCATTCACGTGTGTCTTTACCATCGAAATGATCCTGAAGGTAGCGTCCACTGAGAATGCTTTTTTATCTGCCATGATTAATTTGCTAACGCTGTGTTTTAAATGGAGCACCTTGTAGGTTGGTAGAAAATCCACAATGTAATAATAACGCTCTCATGAGACAACTATCAAAAAAGAATCCACTATCATCTTCTGAAATCATTACAAATTGTTTTGACCAGTACGATTATCTACTGCAAAAGAAAATGAAATAGGTTTTCAGAAGGTTCCTAAGTAGACAACTCTGCATTTTTGGAAGCAGTCCTCTAGTTCAAATGCACCAGAACGCTGCAAACAGGAAAGTCTACCTTGAAAGGAAGTTATTTTGCATTTTATCGTCTTACCTGCGGTGAATGTTTTTTGTTCTCGTTTGTGGCGCTTTTATTACCCACACATGGCAGGCCGTGCTTGATAGGACGACCGAGCCAACTGGTTTCTTATACATTATTCAGCCAAAGTGATTAGAACAATCTGTCTGGCCAGCTAATTTGTCCCCGGCAGATAGGAGTCTGTATGATTTATTTAGTATTTGATTGAACGGAGCTTCTTTCAGCGATATTAATTCCCGATTTACCAGTGGTTATTTATTAAGTATTCCCTATAGTGTAACGGTTAGCATTTATTGTTGATCTTATTTTTACGCTTACCAAGAACGCTAGGATCTTTTTAATTATGGCCACTTGATTTGTTTCTGACCAGCTTCGAAGTATTTTTGTCCAAATATGATTTTATATGAAATATACTTTTTTGACAGTAACTGTTTACAAAAAATGAGGATTCGTTTTCCTTTTATTATTTACAGTTATAATGTGATAACGTGACCAGATGTAGCACAACTTTGCTGTGATTCCATTTAAAAGTGTCGGCCAGACATGCAGATATCACTCTATCTGAACAATTTTTCTACCCAAAGTATAGTATAATGGACTTGATAGAGTGAGAGAAAATCCCAAAAGGTAGTTATGCATGCACGTTTATCACTGCGAATAAGAAGACAAGAGTTGTTTCCTTCACAGAATGAATAAACTAAGTGGTGGTCTGACGCAGCTTAGAGACGGTCCTGTGAGACCTAAAGTTGCATTTAATTGGGAGTAGTAGTAAAAACGTAGAAATCAAAGTTTTATCTAGTAGATAATATCAGTTGAGATATAATTAAATTTATTTTTAATTATCGCGTATGCTTAAGTGCAATATTGGTCAATTTTCAACATTCAATGTACAGTAGTTGCCAGTACCTTATCAAATGACATTTTTTCTGCAGCTGGTTGATCTGGGCGTGGTTATGCATCCACATTCGTACTTTCGAGATCTGTGGAACATCGTGGACGCAGTCGTTGTACTGGCCGCACTAGTAGCTTTCTTCAGGTAACCAATAGTAGTGTATCTTATGCTCGGAATACGTTAGTGACCTTTTTGGTTGTGAGAAATTTTAGGGGCAACCGCTGGATGCCTTTTACACATTTCTGTTTCCTTATTTCCTTTGCTTGCTCTTTTGTTTTCCATGTCTCTTTAGTTACAGGGCGCTTAGATGGCATGCTCTTTGGAGACCCCAAACGTGGGTGCAGAAGAATGCCATTTCAAAATTAATCGGGAATTAAAAAGACTTTAAAACCGAAAGATGCGTTTTAGTCTAGCAAAAACTCACAAAAAGACGTAATTTTCTTCCAAATGACAAAAGAGGAACCTTTGCGTATATTCTGTGAACAAATGTACAAAAAGTTACAAAAATTTCAAAACTAAATGTAAAAAACAGATTGCTTGAGTCCTCATTTTTATGGAGTATGGTTTAAAGAGGCGGTCAGAAGAGGCATATTTAAAAGCACATATTTTGTCGTGATTGAAACACCTTGTGATTATGTAGCAAAATCATGAAGTGTAAAACCTCACCTACCTAATCATTATAATTTTTAAAAAATATTCCCTGCTCTCGGTTATTTTTTTGTGAAATGTATCAGCTATCATCGTTTCTACTTTATTCGCTGCATCGGGCTAGTTCGCTTACTGCCTGTCCAAATGCATCTTTTCCTTTATCCTCGTAGTTTTCGTACCGTTCTTTGCAAATTCTTGGTGGTTTGTAATTTCCAAAGTAAACTGCTGTCGATCTTTTCTTGACTACATATCCGTCAGCTTAAATTAGATGTTTGGATGACTCACCTTAAAGTGATCCAACTATCCGTCAAATTACAAGTGTGTGACGGGCAGAATTAGCTGAAAATTCGTCGCACTACATTATACTTGTAAGGCGAGCTCATCCCATCAGCTAGGATAGAGGCGGTTTTGGTGAAATTTTAGGAAGCAGTTGGCACTACAAGTCTGTAGCGGTCAAAGTCCTGGGTAAATTCGGATCAATACAATTATCAGGCCAAATCCCAAGTTGGAAGTTAAAAGTCAGGAGTCACCAGAAGGAGTGATTTAATGTGTACAGAACTCCTTTTTGCTGTCCCAGGCGGCAGTGGCCACTGGCGAAGCCAGAGCTAGTGTTGACTGCGTCCAGCCAGACCTTAGGGAGCATGAGACAGTGGTGGCAGCTGCTTAAGCAGGATTGCGGAGCAGGTTCAGGTGTCCTATTATGGATGTGTTGCAATTGCCCGAGGGGATGTCGCCTGCAAAGGCTCCCTGCTACGTTGGCCGAAGAAGTAGCGTGGTAAGTGGCCCTTAGGAAGGTGGGCTTATTTGAACGCGCGTGTATGCGTGGGGGTGTGCGACGTGTGTGCGTGACTGAATAAGCTGAGGCAACTGGGGGGGTCGCCGGAAAGCCGAAGGACAGGGGACGCTGGCGCAGCTGTTATAATTTAAGCAGAAGCAGCTGTGAGTTCAAACCTCGGGGGTGGCGGCGCAAGTGAAAAAAAGCATTGGAACAGTTATTTGTGACGACACCTGCCTTTGGTGCAGCGGGCCTTGGAGAACGAAGGGGCAACAAGCATTGTGGCCGTCCGCCACAAGTCCTCATACATTCATCCGATAAATGAAGTAATCCACTTAAAGAAATGTAAGGTTATTAGAGTAAGCGG